ACATATAATACATATACACATATACATAACAAACCAATGTTTTAAATATAAAATTTAGCTTGAAAACATAATTCATACTTTGCCCAGACTATGGATTTTTCTGGGAAAAAAATAAATGTCAAGAGTAAAAAGGTACTCAAATGAAATCTACCATTACTTTTCAGAGTGGGTAATTTTACTCACTCTTTTCTATGATAGAAGAGAATGACATAACCAAACAACCAGCATTGATCTTGTTACACCATCAGGTCTTTTGTTTATTTGATCCCCCCTCTTCTCTTTGCCCTCGCTCATACTTACATATCACTGGCAATGGAGGAGTTCCGGGACATAGACTTTGGAGAGAGGTCATAGTCGCTGTCAGATCGATACAGGAATGACTCCCGACGTTGACTGTGGACAAAATTTGCTTGGAGAATTAGCCCAGATCCTGGACTGGTCATGGGATCCAAGGGACTCCGTCCCGAAGATGTGCCATTGTCCACATCGAAACTGCAAAAGAAGGAGAAAGAATTACATTGCTGTAAACACTTGCATCTTGATGGATTAACAAAGAGAAAGGCTCCAGTCTAGGGATTGGATATGGGACAATCTATAGCTTATTCTTTCTAAAATTAACTAAAACCCAAACCATACTGAAGTATACAGTAGCCAAGAACACACTGGCTTCATATTCTTGTCCTTGTAAGCTTTCATTTACTATTGTTCATTTACCATTTAAATGACAAAGAAAAAAAATGACAAAGAGACCACAATTTGCTGTGATGAATCACTTTTATATGACTTTTCTCGCCATGTTCTTGTAAAATTCAATCACACGACAGAGTAACAACAAACAACTCATTTCCATAGAGCCAGAATTGACTCATAGCTGATCCTCCAGCATGTTTTCAGAGTCTGTAAGTTGCTTGGAAGGAAATGGCCCATCTTCCTCTGGGGAGCTGCTGGTAGATTCTAACCACCTTCCTTGGGCTGGCTGTGCAACTCCACACCCACTAGGCCCTCAGAGCTGAGACTAAGTAAATGGCAGAGATGGTCTAGAGAAATTATGTGCTTGTGCTCCACAATGGGATGAAACAGCTTGTTAACAGTGCAAGCAAGGCAGGTGGCACGAGTTCGGGGCTGTTTCTGTTGGTAGATGATATTGGGTCAACTTCAACTCATGGTGACCTTATGCACAACAAAACGAATCCCTGCCCAATGCTTCATTATCCACAATGAAGCACTCTAGTTGAACTTCCTTCAAGATAGACTATTTGTTCTTTTGTCAGTCTGTGATATAATCAATACTCTTGATTGACATCACGTTTCAAAAGCATCTTTTGTTCTGTTTCTCTTATCTACTATCTAGCATTCAGATAAATAGGAAGCAATTGAAAATATCAGAAATATCCACTTAGAATCTAGACTATCTTTCCATGCAGAGCTTTTCTTGTCAGATATCAACAATAGAAAGCAGTAGAAAGCTTAGGTGAGCCCAGGACTCAAACTTAAAACTCATTGTTGTTAAGTGTGAGCTGACTCCTCGCTGATAATCTAGTGGGTTTTCAGAAGCTGTAAATTACACAGGAGGAAACTCCTCATCTTTCTCGCATGGAACAGCTGGTGTATTTGAACTGCCCTCCTTTGTGTTGGCAGCACAACTCTTTACCTACTAGGCCATTAAGTAAGTAAGTATATGCTTGGTTTTTTTAAAATGCTAAATGGACAGGAGGAACAGTTGTAAGCAGACCCTAGTGATTGGTACATGGAATGTGAGAGCCATGAATGAAGGAAAATTAGAAATTGTTAAGAAAGAAAT